TTTTATTACAACCTGACATTACATTACCAGGGGAAGCTGCTGGGACCTGTTTGTACCCCTTCCCCAGAACTATATCTCCAATGAGCCCTTCCATACATAGCGGGGAATTTATTAAAACTGTAGCAGAGAAAATTTGGCGCAGCTGTGCACAGCAACCAATCAGCTTCTAACTTAAGTTTGTTCAGTTAAGATTTGAAAACGAAAGAGAGAAGCTGATTGGTTGCCGTGCAAGTCAAGGCAGCAGCATTGTGTTGCTGGGAAATATATATATATATAATTTTTTTTGCATTAACATGCACTTTAAGGATAATTTCACACAAGCGGCAGCCTCCACCTTCCTCTAAAAAGCAATATACGGCTATTCGATGTTCAGGAGGTGATGCTGCTGCCTCCTGAGTGCAGTTAACTTTTATCTTTTTTTATTTCATATAATACTGTGTAACCACATGGTTGCAATGCAGTCCCATTCATTGCAATTTAGCAAGTGGCACTGCCTGCCAAACATGACATGCTGTATATTTTTGCTGTGCCACAAAACATTTTGGCCATGGCAATTTAGGCTGTTTGGCTGCAGTGCTGACATTGCGGAAGGCGACCGGGTTGTGGGAATAGGTCAAACTGTAGCTCAACCGCCTGGTTACAGACCCCCCTCCTCTTCCACCCTACTTCCCGTGTGCACAAGGCCCAAGATAGAGCTAGATTCTGCCTGGTGATATCTGTGAGTAGTGATGGGCTCGGGCGTGTTCGCAGCTCCACGTGCCGAGCCCGCCAGGAAGCTGACAGGGCCAATCACAGGCACTGAGACATTTCCCGATCTCTGCCGCTGCGGCATAATGTCTCAGTACCTGTGATTGGCGCTGTCAGCTTCCTGGTGGGCTCGGCACGTGGAGTTGCGAACACGCCCGAGCCCATCACTATTTGTGAGTCTACTGAGTAGAGCAGGAAAAGCCGTCTGTTGAGGCTCATAAACAAACAACATATTTCTCTGTCCACACTAAACTCAATGGATGGAGGACTCTCCTGTGGCGTCTCGTGTATTTTAACAATAGGCCCTGCTGGCTGTCGCAACATTTGAACAGTGTCTGCATCTGATTGTATGCTGGCACTGTTTGGCCGACAACTTTCCTCCCCGGTCTTTTGATATTTCAGTTTAAGGATGTCGGGCGATAGCTGGCAGACAGGGCCACCAACTGAGCGATTTTCAACTGGTTCATCAGGAATACTTTTAAAGGGTGCTGTGACTGAAAAAAGGTGGAGAAACGCTGCTCGAAGGCCCCAGGCTGATAGCGTTTTAGCACTTTTCTTTGTGTGGTTTTTTTTGTAACATGTTTTACAGGTGTTTTCTGTTCATATGTAAAGGTGCCCATACACCTTACAACCATCGCAAGACTTTTGTCTTGCGATGGTTGTAAGCTAATTAAAAGCTCGTAGGATCTGCCCATCTTGGACAGGCAGATCGTACTTGCGATCATCGAAAGCCCGCCCTGCTGAGGGACGGGCTTCCGGTAACTGCAATGCTGAACGGGCAGAGTGCGCAAGCGCACACCGGCCCGTCCGGCATTTGTCTTACCAGCACGCCACTAACCTGTCGACAATCATACGATTCTCGGCGGGTTTTCAAACATGCTCGTTAGACAAAAGACGTGCGACCGTACAATAGAAACGGTCGCACGCCTTCCATACACCTGGCGATTATCGTACGATTCTGGGCGGGTTTTCAAACATGCTCGTTAAACAAAAGACCTGCGACCGTACAGTAGAAACGGTCACAAGCCTTCCATACACCTGGAGATTTATCGTCCGATCGTGGGATTTCCTGCGATTATCGTACGATAATCGCAAGGTGTATGGGCACCTTTTCGGCTCCTTTTCAGTTGTCCAATAAAAAGCAGTCTCGCATGCAGAACGCGCTAAAAAAGTGCTATAGAGCAAAACGAGCTAATAAGCGCCACAAAAGAAGCTCATGAACTATTTTCGACAACGGGTGTATTGTTAGGCACGATTCAGTACGTTTGTGTGAACGGCCCCCTATATGAATGCATAGGATTTTGATTTGCATGCGTTTTAGCGCGCAAAAAAAATGGACCGGGGCCTTAGACACTGAGCAATGTGCTCTTATGTTGGGTTTGCTTATTATGATCAATCTACATTCATGCGTGGATAGATTCTGAGTGGGAGTATCATACTGCTGCAACTCAACACTCGGATACTTGTGGATATTACTATACTGTATGTGCATCAAAGTACCTCCAGGACCAGAACAGCTCAGCCTGCATGGCAGCTTTTAGAAGCATTGAATGCCTTCACTCCTGAGGGATGATCAATGTAATATAAATATATAGCTGTATGTGTACATGATGAAATACTTTCAAAAACAGTGAGCAATGTGCTCTTATGTGGTGATTATTCTGCATCTGTGTGTGGATAGATCCTGACTTATGGAAATAATATTTGTATGTACGGGGATGGAAAGAAACAACCTCTACTGTATTCTGCACTATGCTAGAAGTGTGATAGGGGTACATACAATCTTTGCCAATGTATACAATCATGTATTTCGCTTTGTTTAGGATTGTCCAGACGCTTGCATCTTTTTATGAATATTGTGGATGTCTATATGAAAAATCCAATTTATATATAAAGTTATTTTGTTTTACCAACATGTTCAGGGTACGGTAAACCCTATGCTATCGCTATCTCACTTCATGTTGTAGGGGTTCCCAGTACAGGCTTTTGGCTGTTTGTTGAATAGGAGAAATGAGCAGTGACGTTAATTGTATTATTAAAGTGACACTAAACTCAGAAGTTTAATCTTAAGAATGCATTCAAGTACCTTTTAACTATTAACAAAAATGTATCTTATTTGTGTATCACTCGGCTGTAGATCTCTGAATTGGTGCTGACACTGTCCTTCCTTCTGGAGGATGACTACTTTTGTTCCCCATGGTCCCTGTGTGTGTGTTGTAAAGTAGTCACCGCTCCAAGCTCACTCCTGTGATGGACTACAATCTCAATACAGATGAACTAACTAAGCATGAGATTGTAGTCCATCACAGGAGTGAGCTTGGA